GGCTTGGACAAAGGATAATGGATAATGTAAAAACATGTTACAAATACGGCTTAAAACTAAATTTTAAGACAACAATAATGATCATTAGTAAAAACACCAACATAAACGCGAAAATTACAATAAGCGATACACCGTTAGAAAGAGTGGAGTAAATATACTCTCTGGGCTACCGATAAGAGATAAAACCACGTATTGAAAGGCCAGCTCTTTTAATTTAAGAATCTTCTTAGGAATATTCTCTGTAACATGTATCAATATACGCATAAGAATTCTTAGATGTTACGTCTTTATTATCCTCTTCTCCTTCTTCAGCCTTAAGTTTTCCAAATCCTGCCCACGCTAACCTTATTCTTCTGGTAATTTCGGCAGTTTGATTTTCTTTGTTAACTTTCATTATCTGTCCCAGGTAGATCTATTCGCTTACTGTTTCTAAATTTATGTTGTTCTCTAACGTTATTTCTCTAATGTTCGGTGTATTTGTCATTATTTTTGTTTTTTCCAAGTTCATCTTAAGACCTACTTTTTCTGAAGCTTGAAATAGTTGCGTCACCATGGTCTGTAGTTCTTCGAAACTTGTACCGAATATTACAATGTCATAAGCAAATGACTCAGTTTTCTTCTAGTAACATTTATTCCTTTATCTACCCAGTTAATGTCTTTGAACATGTCTTCAAGTCCAAGTGTGAATAGCTTTGGTGAGATAACCTCTCCCTGGCGAACTCCTCTGTTGATTGGTGTAGCTTTGGTTTTCGCATCTATTTTTATTTTCATTATAGCTTTCTTGTAAATATAATGTATGAGCATTTTGTATTGGGAGTCTATCCTGCAGTTGTTCATAGCTCTCTCTATTGCCCAAAGTTCTATGGAGTCGAATGCCTTTTCATAATCAATGAAGCCAATGTATAATTTCAAGTGATACTCATTGGCTTTCTCTATTAGAGTTCTGACTAATAGCTATCGAGCTTCGACGTTAACCTATTAGTTATTGCCTGTTTATGAGAGTAATCACTATCCTCCTCTACGGAGTAGAAAGATGGAGTCTTAAAGAAAATACCATCAAACGAATAGAGGTATTTAAAATGTGGTACTACCGACGTATGTTAAGGGGCCCATAACCCAAGAGGCTAAGAAAAGACAAATAAATTATTAACACATTCTCCATTTCCTTACTTCAATCTCCCTTAAATAGTCCTGCACATCGTCCAAATATCTGAGTATAGGTCGCCTTTCTTCTTCCAATTGGAATTCTAGATTACCATCCAGAAATTAAACGACAAAAGAACATGAAATATTCTTAAAAAATGTATTACATTGACTTAAATAATTAACCAAAATTAATATATTTCTTTCAATAAATATTAGATTCAAATTTTTAAAAATAAAAATATTTTGTCATTTGTTTAAAATAGTAAAATCAAGTATGTGTTTAAAATATAGATTACTTAAATATTATAAAAGTTTATTTAAAATCTTTTATAAAAGGTGCATTATTTAAAATCCTTTTCGGGCTACATTTTTGAGCTAAAAAGACATCAAAAGACACATCATCAGTGTTTTGTTATTCGGTGCACATGAGTTAAGCCACTAAATACCTGGATAAAAACCCTTTAGATGGTACAAATTTTAGTGTATTACATTTTATTTAAAAATACAGATTGAACAAGTTAAATTCGGAATATACAAAATATATGTGTTTCGGCTCAACTCCGGTCTAGGTGGCCAACAAAAGGTTGTCAAATAATTATATTATAAAAATCCAATACTTCAGCGGGCTGCTGGATTCTGAACTAATTCAAGAACTCATTCATAGGTGGTCAAACCACCTATCGCTTCCTAAAGCCGGCCACTTACGGTACAGCGGTGTCCTTCGACATAATCGGACAGAGGCGTTGTTCAATTTGTTGGTATATCTGGTGCGCCCACACACCATATTGCGCCGCAGTATTTGTTCGGTTCTCGACCATGTTAAATCAAACAATCATTTTAGCGTCTCTTACTTTGTGTATAATTAAGTGTAAAAAGAAACCTAAAATAAAACGTAGATTCTGGTGCAAAGAATCCAAGATTTTGGTGCAAAATAAATCTCGTCTGCCCTGCACCCGATTTACTGGACTGCAATGCTAATTTTAATTCTCTTTTATAGGATGTTCTAAAATTGCTAATTTTTTTCTTACATACTCTTCATTCGCTTCTTTGTTTACTTCTTGGAACTTTAAAACTAGAATGTCCATTGCCTGTTTTCGGGCGGTTCTATCGTGATACGTTTTACCTTTTATTCACTATAAGCATTCTTGTATTTTATATAATTCAAAAAAATCTCTTAAAAAATTCTCGCTAAATTAAGCCATTTCGATTTTCTATAATATGATCAAAGCAAGTGTGTAGTTAAAAACGAAGTTGACCAACGCCGCTGTATCGTAAGTGGCCGGCTTTAGGTAAGCCCCTCTTTCGTTTATCAGAGATGGAGATTTTGAGCAGTGTTGCCAATATCATTCCTCTAGATGTTTCTAAAATAACCACAAACTTCTGAAATAACTACAAACCATTAAGTTTATTTTTGTTATTAGTCTGTTGTAGTAGATTGGTAGATACAATGAAAAATATAGGCAAATATCCGATTTATTTAAATATACGAAGAAGATATAACTCTCAAAAAGATCCGCAAATCGGATTATTACACGGCGATTGGCAACATTGACTTTGAGGTGCGCTCTAGACTATGGTGCGTTCTAAAAGGAGACGGATAGCTGAAATCACCGGGTATGGATTTATTTTTGTCCAAGTTTTATATTGGTCCACTATTTCAAATGCAGTTCAAACAGACATATATTAAATTGTATGATCTTGTATGATTAAATTGTGATGTTTGAGTATTTTTCAGAAAACCTGCATGGCAACATAAGACTCCCACTAGAGGTTGCTGCTGACCCTCAGAAGATGTCTGAATGGGTTCTAGATGGCAATTGAATAGGGGTTGATGGTAGAAGGGTGAAAATTAAGGGTTGTATGTATTTTTTAATGCCACTTCATAAAAAAAATTTAAAAAAATTGAACAAGACTTAAAAAAAAATGTTTGTGACTCCTCTTTAGGAGTACAACAAATATATAACGACTGATTCTCAGACCTACCGAATATACATATAAAACTTTATATAAATTAGTGAAACGGTTTTGGAGGAGTACAGCAACTAACTCTGTAACCCTAACATGGCAATTAAAAAATAAGGATTAGTAATATAAAGGTAAAAATTAGGGGCTGTATATATTTTTAAATCCACATAAAAATAAAAAAAATGTTTAAAAAATACAAAAAAAATGTTTGGAGTGAACCAGCCTTACCCCTTAGCGATATGAAAAAAGATTGATTGATTATAACACCTATTTTTAAAATATTTTTTTGGTAATGATTTCAAAAACAACCACTAATACTGCGTGATTAAGAGAGTCTAAGACTTGAATATAGTAGAGTGGGAACCTTATCTTCGATGAGTTGAGTATAATTATTGTTTATTGATTTCAATAGGCGTTATTACAAAAAATGTATGAATTTAATTATTACAATGAACAAAGTTCATAAAGAGTCCAAAATTGTATATTCTTTTCATTGGAGTTTAAACATTGACATTAGGCAAAAATATTTATATCATACTTTTCTAATGAAATCTTAAGTAATTCTTGTTTATTATTTACAATAAATAATGATAATTTAAATGGAATGTCTAATCAATTATGGAAACTTGTATTGTTTATATTGAAATCACTTCCTTTAATAAACATTTTAGTATCACAATGGAGTCTTTTCATTAACTCTGGCAATATTGTCATAAATTACACTCCTTGAGCACTTGAGCATATGAAACAGTTGTCATTTGACATCTATCATTACATGGCACCAGATTTTTTAAACAAGACATTTTAAAAGGAATAAAATTTTATTTTTAAGCACCCAATAAAAATCATTGTAGATTAATCAATAAGTGAAGCAGAATGCATTCATATAACTTTCAGTTTCATAAATGACGTACCCTATTGCTAAACTAGTACTAAATTAACTTTTAAAGTGACCATTTATATATTAATTTACTAAATTACTAAACCAAATTTTCAGTTTCGCAGAACTTGCCTTTTATTAAAGTAGAATCAAAATTTTTAAACAGATTTTCAAGCACGTTATGCATTTCATACTTTTTGTACTAAAAATCAGGAACAAATAGGACAAACATACCATTTTCAGTTTGTTGAGGTTCAGCTATAGTCTTCTCTAATTTGATGTCCTTAACAATAGTTTTCATGTCTAATTTGTCTGAAGAGTACATATCCATACAATAACTGATTGTACTCGTATCAACTGGATCTTCCAGAAAAAATTCATCCTTTACTTCAGGTTTAACAGAATGGTGAAATTCATCATGGGATAAGTTATTATTTTCTATTTCGATCTTGCAATCTTCATCCAGAAAGTTGTTTTCTTCTTGTTTAACTTCCATTGCATTAACGCACTTGATTTTAGAAAACAATGTTTATTTGTTTGTATTCTATAAAAAAAAATATATGAGAGAAATAAAATTGACAACTGACTGACTGAATCACCTTTCACGGTAAGTAGAAAGATTAGGCTAGCGCCAAATGCGGACGGGCCGAAACTAATTTTATTTGGCAACAAATTCAAAAAGTATGCTTTTAATTGAAAATATAGTTGTAAAATAAGAAATAAAAACTATGCCAAAAAACATTATTCTCTCCGGGTTGAGTTTACCGAAAGTACAAGCTGATATAGCCGCAAATGTCAAACATTGAATAAAAAAATTTCTGTTTAGCTGTGTTGGCATGTTTTTTATAATGTAGATGCTGTATGCTTTAAATATAAAAAGATAAAGCTTTGGAAAAGTACTATGCGTCTATATTCTTTGGTATCCGTTAGCGCTGATTAAAGTTAACTTAACGGGGTATTGGCTCTGAGGCAGTGTGGCAGCTGGCGGATCATGACCCCTCCCTCTGGGTCATATTTTTTTCTGCCAGTGATCATTTTGTTCTCGAGTTGATTTTAATATTAACTCCCAAATCGCTTTAAAATTTCCAGGATTAAGGGAATCATCGGATTCTTCGTGGCCACGGAAAGCCAGTTCCTGTTTCGCTAAAGTACAAGTTAAAGAAACTAATTTTTTAATGATTTTTCTGTTCATTTTAACTTCTGCGTTGTATTTAATTTTGCGATTTTTGATTTTTAATCTAGCAAATCGTGAACAGAAAACACCCTCTTCTGTACATCCTTAAAGAACAGGAAATTACTTAAATGTTTCTTGCAACTGGAATGTTTTTTTAAAGAGGCAGACATATTTTTTAAATCAAAGTATCCTTCACAATTCCATACACATTTCTTATTAGAAAATAAACACGGCCAACAATATAGTCTGTTTTTCGTAATATTTCCAGACAACCATTTATAGACATCACACAAGAACAATTAAAAGTACGCGCCTTTTTCCCATCATTTTGGTCAATACGCAATTTTGGAACAGGTCTTTCATTTATAATAATTATTTTTTCTATCAACTTCAGTTATTCTAGATAATGGCGATTCCAATAGTGAAAAAATAATGTCCAAATACTCACTATCAACATTACTATTACTGCAACCTGGTAAAGCGTCAGAAAAACTCATTTTTAGGTATCAGTTATAAAATGATCTCACTATTCCAAGAAAGATTTAAAAAAATCAACCTCGATCGGCCAAACAACTAGTGCAACTAGTAATAACAGATAACAGTGAAAATGTGATTTCTTTTCGAATTTTTTAAAATTAATTTGGGCAACCGTGCACTTGTTTGTAATTGTGTTGTTTATTTAAAAATATGTTACAATTAAAGATCATGTTACATATTTTTTATCATAATTTAAAAGAAAATTTATATTATAATTCGATAATTATGTAACAATAAAACACTGAAAACTTTGTTTTCAAACTTCCACAAAATTTATTTGAAATCTTATCACTACAGCATTTTCGGCTGATTGCCTTTCTCAAGTGATCTATTTTTGGCTTGGGTTCGATAATCAATAATTATGTTATAAGTGACAACGATGGTCGGCGTAGGCCTGATCTTCTGGTGCCTAAACAGCAAGCATAAACACAATATAAATATAAATCGTTGTCCGGCAAGCTGCTTAACTTCAAACGCTTTTTGTACGGGGATCTTATGTGAGCTGGGTCGGCCAGTTCCGATCGGGCCTATTAATGATATTTAAAATGCCTTAATACGATTCGATGCTTTCTGTGATAATATAATAACATAGTTGTTTTAACGGACAAAAGTTCTTAAAATTATTGGACAGGCCCAGCCTATCCTACCTACCCCCAAAAGCCGCCACTGCCCTGAGGTTTAAAATTTTTGTATTTGTAGAAAACAGCGTTATTGATTTTTAAATATAAATATGGCAAAAAGTAACATTTTTTTGTATTTTTGAGTGTTTCAAAAATCAAGGTGTGTTTAATTTTATTCAAAAATAATTTTTGCAAAAAATATTTTACACTAAAAAATGGTCCTAACAAGCCTCACCCGTCTAATTTTTAACAGACCCTTCCTAATTGGTACATAATCCTAAGAAATCGATAGTTTTCCAGTGTGCTTCCTTATATTATGTTGTCTCAAATTATTTCTTTCAGAAAACTGCTTAAAACAAATTTCACATTGATACAATTTTTCTCTAGTGTGTATTCTCATATGAGATTTCACAGCACCCGATTGAGAAAATGATTTGGTGCAAATTTCACATTTAAATGGTTTTTCTCCAGTGTGCAGTCTCATATGTACTTTTAAATTATGCGCATGAGAAAACGACCTTGAACATATTTCACATGGATAAGGTTTTTCTCCAGTATGTATTCTTATATGTTTGTTCAATTTACTTGCAACGAAAAACGATTTTGAACAAATTTGACATTGATAAGATTTCTCTCCTGTGTGAATCTTCATATGTTCTGTCAAAGTACTTGTATGGGATAAAAATTTAAAACAAATATCACACTGATAGGATTTTTCTCCAGTGTGTATGCTCGCATGTTTTTTCAAGTCGCTAGGCCAGAAAAATGACTTAAAGCATATTTCACATCGAAAAGTTTTTTTTCTGGTGTGTAGTTTCACATGTGCGTTGAAACCCTTTGAAGAGGAAAACGATTTGAAACAAATTTCACACTGAAAAGGTTTTAGTTTAGAGTGTAGTTTCAGATGTTCTTTCAAACTCTTTGAAGAGGAAAATGATTTGAAACAAATTTCGCACTGAAAAGGTTTTTCCCCAGTATGTGTTCTCGTATGATCTTTTAAAGCATTTGTTCGAGAAAATGAGTGAAAACAAATTTCACATCGGTATGGTTTTTTAATGTGTACTTTAATATGCTCTTTTAAATCGCTCTCGCAAGAAAATTGCTTGAAGCACAATTTGCATGATTTCTCTTCGGTAGGTAGACTCTGCTGCGCTTTATTGCATGGAAGTTCAGGAAATGAATCGATTACTTCCATTCTATTTAGGACACCTAAAATAAAAATAAACTATAAACTTGTTATATGTATAAGTTTTTAAACACTTATTGACACTTTGGAAAAGTATAATATTCATATAATTGCACTCTAAGAACATGATTTTTCGCATGTGAAAAAATTGAACAGTTGCTACAAAATATCATGCAAGGAAAAATAGCAGGCAAACGCAGTCCAGGACGAAGAAGAACCTCATGGTTGAAGAACTTGCGAGATTGGTATGGTGTTGATACAGGCATGCTATTTAGGGTGGCAGTGAATAAAATTAAGATAGCTATGATGGTAACCAACGTTCTGAAAGGACATGGTACATGAAGAAGAAGTTTCATCATCATCATCAACTAGCCTCTAACGTCCACTGCTGAACATAGGCCTCTCGCATGCTTTTCCACTTAGTCCGATCTTGCGCCATCTGAATCCAATTTGTAGTCACTATTTTTATGTCATCTGTCCATCTCGTTGGGGGTCGACCTCTATTTCTGTAAGCTTGTATTCGGGGTCTCCATTCCAAAATTCTTTTTGTCCACCGGCCATCAACTGATCTTGCTACATGACCTGCCCGGTTCCACTTTAGTGTTGTTATCCTTTCAATAACGTCTGCTACTCCTGATCTTTTGCGTATAGTAGCATTGGGTATTCTATCACGTAGAGAAATCCCTAACATAATTCTCTCCATTGCTTTCCGCAACTTGTAGTTTACTCACTGTTTACTCGAAGAAGAAGAAGTTTATGTTTTGTTAAACAATAGTTTATTGTTTTGTTAAGTTTGTTAATATTTTCTTAAATACACATTCCTGAATTTTTATCTTTCTTCTGTCTATTGCTATGTCTAACGTGACATACTAATGTTGCCAACTAACAATTAAGCTGGAGTTATACACCATAATTCACTATATTTTTTCAACTTATCACTCACTGAATAAGAGAAGAACATACTCAATACCCTAAACAGGTTAATGTTTGGGAAAGAATTTTTTAAACTTTTTATTGCTTGTGTGTTATTTTAGTTTAAATAAAATATTATATAAAGTACTTTGCAATTTTATTTACTACATCTTTATTCTTTTGTGTAAATTAATTTTTATAAATATATTTCTATACACTGAAAATTAAAATTATTCATCGTTTGTTGTTTCTCACTTATTCGAAATATTTTATATGTTTACGATACTAAAAATATAAGTAATCAAACCAATAGTCATCATTTATTCAAATGAGAAAACTGTTTCAAATAACTTTCAAATATTGGAAGGTACGCCGCTGACTGAACGGGAAATGTCACAGTCTATCACCTCGTCTCTTTCCCCGCGCCTATAAACTTTTCGACTTCAAATTTAGGTGAACAGACAGAGTGCAGGGCATGCCTATTCCATCTTTATTTATACGTCCATGGGCAGACCTGCGTAAATTACTGTAAATCCATTACTGAAAATCTACGTAATGCCCAAGAACTGAATAAAAGTAGCTATAACATTGACCAGAAATGGGAAAATATAAAAGTAGCAATAATTAAAACAGCAAATGAAAACTTAAAACCTATCCATAAAGGATAAAAAACTATCCATAAAGATTGGATGACTGAAGAAATACTACTATTAATGAATGAAAGAAAATCATTCGAAACAAAAAATCCAATTAAATATAATGAAACTGATCGATTAATAAAAAAGAGAATAAAAAAATCTAAGGAGAGAATGTTACATGAGCAGTGCCAAGAACTAGAAGAAATTGAGAAAAAATATGACTTTTTTAACATGCATAAAAGAATTAGAGAATTAACAGGAATGAGAAAAACACTTCAAACTAGGCAACTAAGAGATGAAAGTGGTGCACTTATAACAGATATAAACCAAAAAATGCAGAGATGGACACAATATATAGCACAACTTTTTGAAGACAAAGAGAGAACAGAAGCACCAAAAGAATTTAAGGATGATACTGTGCCTGACATTATACGAGAAGAAATTGAATATGCAATGAAACAAGCTAAAGGTGGTAAATCTCCGGTGCCTGATGAAGTTCCTATCGAATTACTTAAAATTGTGAATACTGAATCTATTGATCTTCTTTAGGATCTATTCAATACCATATATAGAATAGGTATAATACCTAAAGAATGGCTCCAATCAACATTCATACTGCTTCCCAAAAAAGCCAATGGAAAGGAGTGCAATGAACATCGCATCATAGCCTTAATAAGTCATGTCTTGAAATTGTTTTTAAAAGTAATTCACAATAGAATACATAAGAAATTAGATGAAGGCATAAGTAATACACAAATGGGATTTAGGAAAAGGACTGGGAACACGAGATGCACTGTTTACAGTGTTCTTTCGCAGAGATGCTTAGATATTAATCAGGAAGTATATGCCTGTTTCATTGATTTTGAGAAGGCATTTGACAGAGTGCAGCATAATCGACTTAAAGAAATTTTATTAAATAAAAATATAGACAGTAGAGACATTAGAATCATCTGTAACCTCTGTTGGAATCAAACAGCAAAAGTGAAAGTTGAAAACGCACTGACCGAGGATATCCAGATTCGCCGTGGGGTCCGCCAAGGGTGTATTTTATCACCCTTGTTATTCAATTTATACAGTGAAGCCATCTCAGAATTAGCGCTTGCCGAGATCAGTGAGGGTCTTATAATAAACGGTGAGCCACTTAATAACATAGGATATGCTGACGACACCGTCCTTCTGGCAGGAACACTAGAAGAACTGCAACACCTTGCTGAACAACTAAATATATATTGCAACGATTATGGACTAAAAATCAATTTGAAGAAAACCAAGTTCATGGTATTTACAAAAGCACAAAACATCAAAGTTAAGCTAGTACTAGATAATACAGAAATTGAACAATCTTCGTACAAATACCTTAGAGCATGGATCGCAGAAGATACTGATCAGACAAAAGAAATAAGATGTCGCATTGAATTTGCGCGGTCAATTTTTAATAGAATGAGAAAACTTTTTTGTAATCGCGATATCAATATATCGCTCCGGATAAGAAGCTTCAATGTTATATTTTCTCTACACTTTTGTATGGAGTTGAAGCTTGGACACTTAAAAAATCCAACATTAAAAACCTAGAAGCATTCGAAATGTGGTGTTACCGACGTATTTTGAAAATATCATCGATGGTTCGCAAAACAAACGAACAAGTTCTCGAACAACTAGGAAAACAATGCGAAGTTTTAAATTCCATAAAAATCAGGAAATTGGAATACTTGGGGCACATCATGAGAGGAAAAATACGAACTACTAAGGAATATAATGCAGGGTAAAATCAAAGGTAGAAGAAGCGTAGGAAGACATAAAATCTCGTGGCTACGCAATCTCCTTGAATGGTTTGGATGCAGTTCAATTGAACTATTCAGGCACGTAACCAATAAAATTATAATTGCCAGAATGATTTCCAATCTCCGATAGGAGTGGAACTTGAAGAAGAAGAAGGGCAGACCTAATACGCAAAGACAGGAAAACAGTCAAAGCCATAGTAGGTCTTCTAACAGGGCACTGTAAGCTGAATAGGCACTTGAAGCTGATGGGATTATCAGATGATGACCTGTGCAGATTCTGTCACCTCGAAGAAGAAACAGCAGAGCACATTTTATGTCAGTAACACAGTCGGGCAAATGTGAAGAAATCCACCGGCAAATAGCTACATGGAAGGTATAGTCTCGAAGCTACTAGACTTTATAAAAAGGGTCAGACTAGAGAATTTTATCTATGACGCGAAGACCAGAATAGATCTGAAAAGGCCGCAGTGGAATAGGCTAAAAGGCCACCTCTCTAAATCTATCTATATATCCTAATGGATACAAAATCCTAAGATGTCGACAATATTTCTCCGGTGTGCTTTCTCATATTATGTTGTTTCAAATTACTTCTATCAGAAAACTGCTTTAAACAAGTTTTACATTGATAAGGTTTTTCTCCAGTGTGTATTCTCATATGTTTTTTCAAATTCTCATTAGTAGCACAAGAGAGATCACAAATTTCACATTGGTATGGTTTTTCTCTAGTGTGTATTCTCATATGAGATTTCACAGCACCTGATTGAGAAAATGATTTGGTGCAAATTTCACATTTATATGGTTTTTCTCCAGTGTGCATTCTCGTATGTGTTTTTAAAATACTCGCATGGGAAAACGACCTTGAACATATTTTACATTGATAAGGTTTTTCTCCAGTATGCATCCTCATATGTTTTTTCAAATTGCCTGGATCGGAAAACGACTTTGAACAAATTTGACATTGATAAGGTTTCTCTCCTGTGTGCATCTTCATATGTCGTTTCAAAGTACTTGTATCAGAAAGAAATTTCAAACAAATATCACACTGATAAGGTTTTTCTCCAGTGTGTATTCTGATGTGTGTTTTCAAATCACCTGTTTTAAAAAATGACTTAAAGCATATTTCACACTTATAGGGTTTCTCTCCGGTGTGCATTCTCATATGTTCTTTCAGTGCGCTTGCACGAGAATACGAATTAAAACAAACATCACACTGGAAAGGTTTTTCTCCAGTGTGGATTCTTGTATGTCTTTTCAAGTCACCAGCCTTGAAAAATGTCTTAAAGCATATTTCACATCGACAAGTTTTTTCTCCAGTGTGTAGTTTCAAATGTTCTTTCAAACCCTTTGAAGAGGAAAACGATTTAAAACAAATTTTACACTGAAAAGGTTTTTCTCCAGTATGAGTTCTCGTATGATCTTTTAAACCACATCTTCGAGAAAATGATTGAAAACAAATTTCACATCGGTATGGTTTTTTAATGTGTATATTATTATGCTTTTTTAAATCGCGCTTGCAAGAAAATTGCTTGTAACACAATTTGCATAATGATTTATCTTCGGTAGGTTGACTCTGCTGCACTTTAATGCATGGAAGTTCAGGAAATGTTTCGACTACTTCCATTCTATTCAGGACACCTAAAATAACAATAAACTAGAACCTGTTATATCTATATGTTTCTAAACACTTATTAGCACTTTAGAAAAGTTTAATATTGATATAATTGCACTCCAAGAAATAACATTACTGCAGAAGAAAATATTTGAAAAAAAGGAATAGATATATTATATCTGTTGAGTAATACACATCTGGTATTGCCCCTGAAAAACACTAGCCTAAGACAGTAACATACCTCGAAGTGCGCAGATAACAGGATGCAAATTCAGAATATTGTTGCCAATCTCTCAGTTTGTGGTATCAATATTTTATTTACCATGAGAATATAATTTGTGATCTCTTAACAAGAACAAAATTCAATAATTCCAATATACATAACTTCTTTGTAAACCTTTACAACAAATTTTCAATTTATCATTGTCATCATCTGTATTTCCACAATATTGGAAAAATAGTTTTCTTACACCTATCTATAAATCTGGCAATCGCGAGTGTGTTAACAATTATAGAGGTATAACTATTCAATCAGTAATCCCGAAACTTCTTGATAAATTGGTATAGATAAACCTCACCTGGGTTTGCAGAAACATAAATATTGATGAACAACATGGTTTTTCTAAAGGGAAATCAACAGTAACAAACTTTGTCAATTACCAACAATACTTGTTGGGTGTATTTGAGAATAAAATTCAGGTTGACAGTGTTTACACTGATTTCTCAAAGGCCTATGACCAGGCTAATCATAATCTTTTGGTCCACAAACTTCATGCATCTGGCTTTGGTGACCCCATTGTTAATTGGATTAAAAGTTTCCTGATGGGACATACACAGCAAGTTCGTATTAACAATTATATTTCAAAAGAATTTCATTGTTATTCTGGTGTACCACAAGGGTCTCCCATTCAGATTGTTCTAGCTGTAAGCCAAGTAAACAAAAGATCTCACACACCTGAGATTTGTCATGGCTAATGTGATCAGCTAATACATTAGTGTTATATTCAGGAATTTTATACATCATTTTGAGCTCTAACTATATGCTGTTGTATTTCATTAACAAAGTATGTTGAAGAAAAGAATAAAACCAAACACAATTATTGGAAAATGAAAAAAATTATGTGATTTTTTATTCCAATATTTTCTTTAACTTAGGTACTACTTTTTTGGTGTAAATATAGTTAGAATTCATATTAAACTAAGTATCTAAACCACCAAATTCCAAACTTAAAATTTTGAATTTTCAACTGGTTTTGTCATTGTCCCAATAAATTGGAAAAATTCCTTAAAAAAGGAATTAACGATTTTCTCATGACACTAGTTTATACAGGTAATTAACAATTGCTTTTGATAAATAGGTGATACTGATAACAAATAACAATATATAATATGCAAATAATAACAAAATATGCAAATTAATTATAATTGTTATATGTGAGACCCTAATTCTAAGAGATATATACAAAAAAAGCATACCATTTTCAAATTGTAAGGGTTCAGATTTATGCTTCTCTAATTTGATGTCTTTAACATCAACTTCCATGTTTAATTGGTCTAAATTATTGATTGTATCCGTATTAAATGAATTTGTCACCCATGAGTCCAGCTTTATTTTGTCTTTAACATGCGAGAAGTCAATATTTTCTATTTCGATCTTACAGTTTTCGTCCAAAAACTTGTTTTGTTCTTGTTTTATTTCCATTGTCTTGATATATGACTATTATACTTCATTAATGAATTTAAGGTAAAAGCTAAAATATAAATAATCGCATATAGAAAGACAGTTCAAATGGCCCAAATGGGCGATTTGTTTTGTATTATTATTCTGTTTTTATTAGTAAAACAACATTGTTAACTCTTATTACTTTTATTGTACATCGTTACTTAACATGTGTATTATATTGGCGACCATCTTGTCCTGCACCTCAACTGTTAACTGTCTACTGTCAACCAGTGTTGCCAACTCACAACATTCATAACTTACTATACTACATCTCCCTAATTAACTTGAATCATAGCTGTCACCACAATCAGTCACAAAGTCTTTTAAATAAACTGGTTGTCTTCTTATCCGAGTACCACGACTCAATGTTTCATTGTTATTATTAACATTTTCCGCACTACCTATGTCACTATATAAAATATTCTCAATATTAACATTTTGATCTTCATCATTTATAATAATAGGTTTATATGTGAAATAAACTGATTCTTCTACACGATTTTGCAGTTTATCTTTCACATTATTTTTTGGTAAAATTTTAGGCAATATGTTACTTCCTTTAATATCTATTCTATTCCTACGTTTAATCTTGTTATTGACATCATAAAATATAATTGTTCGTGGTGTTTTACCATATTTTATAAATTTCGCAGGTAACCACGTTTTATTTTGTCTATAATAAATTTTTTGACCTTGAGTTAGTTTTAATTTTCTTTCTTTTGCATTTTTGTCATAATAAAATTTGTTTCTTTCATTTTTTTTTTTTTTTGAACTTGCCTAAAATCTTTTACAATTTTTGGTTTTAACTTATTACTATGAATTGGTAAAGTTGTTCTAGTTTGTCTGCTCAAAAGAAGTTGGGATGGACTATACAATGAGTTTAATACTGGAGTGTTTCTGTACTCTAATAATAATAATTTTATATCAAAATTTTCCTCTTTACTTCTTTTAAGCAAATTTTTTGCTATATTAACTGCTTTTTCAGCCATTGCATTTCCTCTAGCATAATATGGACTTGATGTCACAATTTCAAAATTCCAAGCCTTTGCAAAATTGTTAAATTCAAAAGATGCAAATGGCATATTGTCTGCACGTACCACCTCAGGAATACCATGAGTTGAGAATATTTGTTTCAAAATTAAAATTACAGTTTTAGAATCTTTATGTTTTGTTTTAATTATTTCTAACCACTTTGAGTAATAGTCAACAACTACTAAATAAGATTCACCTGCAAATTCTAAAAAATCTGTGCCAACCTTTTGAAATGGATATTTACTTAATGGTTCAATAATCATGGGTTCTTTAGGATTTTTATTGCTAAACTTTTTACATATTGGACAATTTGTTACATATTGTTCTATTTCATATTCCATTTTAGGCCAATAGAATAATGATTTTGCTCTAGCTCTTGTTTTTGTTATACCAAAATGGGTTTTATGAACTTTTTGTATTATTATTTTAGTTAATTCTGCTGGTACTATTATTTTATTATCTAGGAATAATAAGTTATTCTCAACAAAGATTAAATCTTTTGATTGATAATAATACTTTAACTCATTTGAACACTTTGAAAATGACTTTGGCCAACCATTTAAACAGAATTCTTTGACAGTATTCAAAACTGGGTCTTTTGTTATACATACTTTGATTTTTTCTGTAATTTCAGTGGATACATTAACTGAATGAACTATATTATTTAGAGACATATCTGTTGCTTCTTGTTTTGCTTTTGAAGAGGCCCTACTAATAGCGTCTGCAATCAGCATTTGATTACCAGGCACATATATCAAATTAACATCATAAATACTTAATTTTAATCTAATTCTCTGTAATCTATTTGAACTTATTTTACTAATGTCTTTTTTCATTAAAGATACTAAGGGTTTATGGTCTGTCTGCACAGTAATTGTTCGTCCATATACATAGTTGTGGAACTTTTTTAAAGCAAACAAAATGGCCATAAACTCCTTGTCTATCTGTCCATAGTTAGTCTCACATTCTGATAAACTTTTTGAAGCATAACTTACTGGGTGACCGTTTTGAATTAAGACACAACCAATGGTTGTTCTGCTACTATCAGTTTGAACAATTATGTCAGAATCGGGATCATAATTCTTTAGAACTGGTGCACTACATATTAACAATTTCAGTTCATCAAAAACCTTACTATGTACTGATTTTTCCCATCTGAATTCAGTGTCCTTTTTTAACAATAACCTTAGCGGATAGGTTTTTTCAGCTAAATTCGGTATAAAATTTCTTAAATAATTAATTACTCCTAAAAATCTCTGTAGGGCTTTTTTATCAGTTGGTGTATCATATTCACTAATAGCCCTAATTTTTTCATTGTCTGGTTTTACTTCACCATTACTAAAAGTATGACCCAAATACTTAACCTCAGTTAACAAAAATTGAAATTTTTCTTTGTTAAATTTAATGTTTATTTGCCTAGCCCTGTCTAAAACATTTTTTAAAATTACATTATGAGCCTCAATTGAATCTGCAAATATTAACAAATCATCTATGTATATATTAACGCCGTTAATATCCTGAAAGTTCTCAGACAAATATTTTTGGAAAACCTCTGCCGAAATATTAAGACCAAACGGTAAACGTTTGAAAGAATATAACCCAAAGGGTGTTGAAAATGTACAATACTTTGAACTGTTTTCATCCAAAGGTATATTCCAAAATGAATCTTTTAAATCCAACACACTAAAGTATTTAGCATTTTTTAACTTACAAGCCAGCTCCTCAAGCTTTGGAATTTCAAAATAATCTTTAACAATACACTCATTTAAATATTTAGGATCAAGACAAAGACGCAGGCTTCCATTTGGCTTTTCAACAATAACCAAACTGTTAACCCATTCAATTGGTCCATCTGCTTTGCATATTATATCTAATTTACACAATCTGTCTAATTCATGTTTTAGTTTATCCTTTATTTTTAAAGGTACTCTATGTGGTGGGTTAGAACAAGGAATTGCATTGGCTTTCAACTTAATACAATATTTTTTAGAAAATTTACCAATTCCGCTAAATATATCATTATACTGATTCATAACATTATTTTTAGTTATTACAATCTCTGAGCATTCCTGTATACCATTAGATTTTTTAATCAACTTTAGCTTAATACACATTTCAAGACCTATAATGGGAGTGAAATTATTATTAACAATTATAAATTCCACACTATACTTTTCATTTTGTACTGTAACATTTAATGTTATGTCTCCTAACACATTTATTGATGTACCATTATAAGCATGTAGTTTAACCTTACTCTTATTGTTCAAAACTAACTGTTGTTCTGACTGTTGACTAATTAATCTAAAGATATTTTCAGGAATGAGATTAACATCAGATCCTGTGTCTAATTTAAAATCAATTAAAACATTTTCAACATGCAATTTATGATACCATGATATGGAGTTTACTGACCTTACATCACTGACACTTATCATTTCACAGAAATATTCCTCTTCTGTATCATGCATATTTACTTCTTTTACTTTTTTATCCTTCCGAGTTTTACAAACCAATGAGAAATGGTTATCCCGTCCACACCTTGAACATGTTTTTCCCCATGCTGGACACTTTTTTTTGTCACATTCATGTGATCGTCCACACCATTTACAATCAATAACTTTAATTTTCATCCATTCTTTTTGTGACTTTTCTTTTGAAGACACTTGCTTGATTTTATCAACACTAGATGATGCTGTTTGGCACACCTTTTGGGCTTGTACTTTCTCCAATTCAGCTATTTTAAACAACTTAATAACTTCATCCAGTGAAACTTTTTCTGTAGTTATTATTTTTTGTTTTGTTTCATTGTCTGCCGATCCAAAAACTAATCTATCTCTGAGTATTTCGTTTTCGTCTGTGAATTCACAATCTCTTGCCAACGTTTGAACATCTATTAAAAAGGATTCAAATGGTTCATCTATTCCTTGTGCACGTTCATAAAACAGGTGCCTACAATATAAAATATTTTTCTTTGGGTTGCATACCTCTTGAAACTTATCTAAAACAGCTGCATATGTCTCTTCATTTTCTTCGAACTTGAAGTTGTTATATGTTCTTAGACCGTCGTCTCCAATACAATTTAGAAGGATCGCTATTTTAATATCATCAGTTTTTGACATCTGCCCTGACGCTCTTAAATAGATATTAATAGACTGTTTAAAAATCTTCCAATTTTCACTCACATTTCCCAACATTTTAAGTGGTTTCGGCAAATTAAATCCAGACATTTTGGCGGACTTTTCCACGTGTTGCAAACTTTTCACACTGACTTTTACGTTTACGTTATTTACACAATTTATATACATATAGTTTCACTGACTGCGCCATGTATTATTATTCTGTTTTTATTAGTAAAACAACATTGTTAACTCTTATTACTTTTATTGTACATCGTTACTTAACATGTGTATTATATTGGCGACCATCTTGTCCTGCACCTCAACTGTTAACTGTCTACTGTCAACCAGTGTTGCCAACTCACAACATTCATAACTTACTATACTACAGTTTTTGTTTATAGTATCACAGAACACTAAACACAACTTGTGATTAGTATTCTGTGATAAAGTACATCCCAGAGGTACTTTTCAGTGCGTCATTAATTATGACGTCATAGAATGAATTAGGTGTGTCGAGAATTATTTCATATAATTATTGAAGAATCTGACAGATGCCAGGATCGTACTTAGCCATAGGGGGTAATCCAGTATATTAATAAAAATAAAAAGTAAACAATATTGTTTATTCAATTTATAAATATGGAAAAATTTGAAATTGACGACAAAATGATTCATTTATTAAATTTTTGTATCTCCTTCTCAAGGGGCTGTCTGCGCGTCGAAAGTTGGCAATCATCACAGCGATTTTTAATTTTGAGACAGCGGCTCTAAATAAGTCGTTATTACATGAGTTACGTCTCCTTCCTATGGATCTTTTTCTCCTAA